GCATCTCGGAAGAGTGCAGCTATAGGGGTTGTCCTCCACGCTGGTAGAATGCCCCGCGCTGCTATGGCCAGGGTCTTGTCTATGGCAGCTATGTGCCATCCAATGTAGGCGCTGACCTCTTGTGGCCCGCCTGGTTTAAGTGAATGTAGTGGTTTAGTGCAGCCTCTGTACTAGCACTCAGTCCCATACAGAAGCCCTAGATATAGACAGGCAATAGTGGCCTTGCGGAGGGAGCTGGCTGGTGGTCTATAGGTAGTCCTGGCAAGGCTGCGAATATAATAGGCTACCTTAGTAGCCTTTGCAGTGCGTGTGGCTACATGACGTCTAAAGGTAAGTCTGTGGTTAAACCACACTCCTAGCCAGCGCAGGGCTGGCTGGCTGTGCTCTCCACCCGGGAGGATAGGGTGGATTGTGAGCTGCTCATCTACAACACAGGGTGGTGCGTAGCTGCTTTGTTGCCTAGTTAGGTGTATTATTTCTTGCTTTTCTAGAGCAAAGGTAACCTTGTTAGCCTCTCCCTATGCTCTAATCTGCCTTAGGTCTGATGCTAGGAGCTTAACGTTATTGTCTATAGAATGTGAGGCTTAGTATAGACATATGTTGTCTGCATATCTAAATCTCTGTTCTGTATCTATAGACAGTAGCTCAGCTAGATACAGTGTGTACAGGACAGGAGAGAGAGGCAAGCCTTAGGGTGTGCCACAGGTGACAGGGTAGCTAGGGGTAGTGACCTAGCTAAGGCGGACTTAAACCCTCTAGTTAGTAAGGAATAAGTCTACAAAGAGGATAGTCCTTTATAGCTAGCCCTGTTAGGCCATCTAGTGTAGCAGGTAGTTCTTAAGGAGGGCATTAAAAGCGCCTTGTACATCTAGGGTGACTATAGTGACATGCTTTCTAAGTACCTATGCGGCTTCAGTGTTGTAGGTGAACGCTGCGGTGAGGTCTGCTGCAGAGCGCTTTGGTAGGGCGCCTCTATGCTAGGGACTAAGGATCTTGTGGGTCATGGCTGTCCACGCAATTTGTCTGGCCACTGTTCGTTCAAGTCCCTTCCTAATGCAGGAGAGGAGCGCTATAGGTCTCCAGGAGCGGGGTGACGTTCGGTCTGTCTTCCCAGCCTTAGGTATTATAGCTACCTCAGCAAGCTTCCACTGTGCTGGGAAGTAGTTGAGCTTAAGGCACTGCTAGAAGATTCTTCGTATAAGTTCCCTAACCTGAGCCTAGCAGGCACGGAGTAGTCGCACAGTAGAGCAATCAGTGCCTGGGGAGGTGCTAGAGACCCCTATTGTATTTCGCTCACATTCCTCTAGTGAGATGTGCGTGCTCCACAGGAGGGTATCTGCATTCTCCTAGTCTGGGCAGTGCCTGAGGTCGTCCTCTGCTCTAAACCAGTTAAGGACCTCCTCTCTAAGGGCCTCTGCCTTCTCTAGGGGGTCTAATATAGCTATGTTGTTTACTACAAGCAGAGCGTCTTGGTTCTCTAGCAAGAGCTTGTGCTAGGCAATAATCTTAAACAGGTCTTTGTTATTCTTAGTGTTATTAATTACATGCCTCTAGTACTGTCTCTTTGCCTGTTAGACTGTAGTCTTAAAGGTCTGTCTCTCTTTAGGTAGATAGCTAGAGTAGAGCTGTCGCGCCTGTTTATAGACTTAGTAGGCAGTTTTACACTCCTCTGTCCACCAAGGTGCAGCGCGGCCTTCCTTACAGGCGCCTCTGCCTGCTGTCTGTATCGCGTGCTCTATAGTCTCTGTGAGCAGCCTAACGCACTTATTAAGCTGTGATGCCTCCTGTGTGGCCAGCGGGTCTAGGATGTTCTAGACTCCTATCTCTACTAGCCCAGTGAACTTAGGTAGGTTTGCCTCTGGGACTCTGTAGTGGTGCTGCTCTAGGTGCCGAGTGCCCGGTGTGGAGATAGGGATAGAGGTCACTATTGTCTCATGGTCTGAGCCGCTGTGCATGCTAGCGTCAACAGCAGACTGGGCAAAAGGGATGTTAGAGAAGGTGAGATCCAGGACGTGGCCAGCGCTGTGTGTAGGCTGTCCTGGCACCCCAATATAGTCCATGGAGGCGTTGGCAGCCCACCTAGCAAGCTCCATCCCTCCATTAGCTGCAGTGGTAGTAGGCTCAAAGGATTCGTGTCTAGCGTTAAAGTCTCCTCCTACAAGGCACAGATGTGGGGGTGTAAGGCAGGAGACATATTGGATAACGTGTGGAGTGTGGGGACACCTGTAGCAGTTAAGAATAGAGATTCCGTTTACTACTACCCACAGCATGTCTGGGTGATTAAGGCTCTCTCTAGCCTGGTAGTGTAGGTGTGGTCCTTTGTGGATGTATGTCATAACCCTTAGGCAGGTAGAGCCTGCCGCATTAGGGTTGTCCTAGGTGCTAATAGGTGCAGCGTGCGTAAAACCAGGATAGGTAGAGGTTCTAGATTTGGCGCATGTGAAGGGCTCCTGAACGCACACAACGTCTATGCCTTTCTGATAGGCTGTTTCTAGTAGTGTGATGTGCCAGGGTGAGCACCTGCCAACGTTGGCCCAGCATACACGGAGGCTAGGTTGTCGGTGCCTGCTAGAGGCTAGAGTGATGTGGGGGTGTTCTAGCATGATGATGGTGGGTCATCGCTCATGCTGACGTCTTCCCTCTCTAAGGTGGACAGGTTAGTGTAGATAGTTGGTTGAGGGCGGATGCTGCCAGCTGACAGTTGCCCTACATTCAGGCTTCTCTGGCCTGTGGCGGCCCGCCTTGGTCTCTTTGCTCTGCTATCAGTTGGCAAGGGTGCAGGAGGGGCAGCAGCTCTGGGTACTGCAGCTGTTTCTTGCCTTTGTGCTGGAGCGTACGGGACTACTGGCTCTAGGGTCACTAGCTGGGCGACCTTAGGTTGAGACGTTGACTGTTGAAGGGTCTCTTCAACAGTTCTGTAGAGGTGCTGCTGTGCTATCTTGCCTGCGCGGCGGATGGCTTTCAGCTCAGCCCTTGTAGGTTTGATGATGTGCCCGTTGACCCGGCGAGGGGCTGCAGGGCAGTTAGAGTGGCTAGCTGGGTGTGGGCCACAGCAGTTGGCGCATGAAGCTTTGTGGGAGCACCCCTCTCCGTACTGTCCCTGGTGCCTGTCTGTGCGGTTTCCGCAGTGGACGCAGCGGGCTGTCTGAGTATATCGAGCCGCGTTGCAGTAGCCCTGACAGCCTGGGTTGTGTCGCTGAATAGCAGGGTGCTTGTTAATCTCTTTTAAGAACTGGCTAGTGCCAAAGAGCCTAAACGCCTGGACTAGCTCCTTGTAGGAGACGATCTAGGTAGTAAGGCCTTGCTTGTTAGCTCTATAACGTAAGGGTCTGCAGCTAGCTGGCTGCTTTCTTGTC